ACCCAGTGTGACTATCCCTCGACCCCATTTTTGGGGGATTTTGGGGAATATGCGGTTTTGGTACCGCAGTTTGAGTGTGCCCTGAGGCGGTTTTTCTTTTGTTCAGGGTCTGCGAGTATCAGGACAGCGGTCTGGATTTGGCCATGATTTCTGTCTCTGCTGGATTTCTCACCCCGACACCTATTCCCTATGTTGGGTAAAGGTCTCAGAAAACTCTTTTCTTTCCTTCCGGGTTGTTTGTTGAGGTTTTCCTGGCCTCTCTTTTGGTGTGCGAAATCACATGAGCTGCGTTTTCTTGTAAAAAAAAATAAAAATAAAAAATTACAAGTTTTAAGTTTTTGCCTGTTCCCGAAGAATTCAGGGGTGGGACCCAGCATTGGCTGCCTTCTCCTCATAGCCGTCATAGGGGAACAGCCATATATTTTTCTCTCACCTCACATATCTTTTAACTGGCGTTCTGCCATGTCATCATGGAACATATCCTTTTTCAGAACCTACCAAAGACAACTTTCAGACAATGCCATACATCACTTTTTTTTTCTTTTTTTTTTAACATGGGACAATGCTCTGATCTAGTCATGGGGAGCAGCACGTGCTGGGAACAGGGAACAGCGTCCCTTAAACCACCAGTAGTTGGCCCATACATTGGCCGCGGGTGTTTCCCGTTAACACGCCGCGACTGATGGGCTTCGGCCTGCAGGGCGTTTCCCGGCTCGGCATCAATAGCTGGGCCAAGTACTGGTGGTTTGAGACAACATAGTGAACAATATGAGATACCGGGGCCATTACCCGGCTACAGATGAGGTTGACATGATAAGCAGTACTCAGACTGAAAACCCGGGATGCCAAAGAGCTACCCAATACGCCAGACCAACTTTCCACCAAAACAGCCATGTTCTCTGTCCAAGGGCCTTGCCGGATGGTGCAATAAACGAAACGAAAGGACCTCAAACCTCGCGAGGCCTCGCGAGGCCAAGAATCACCGTTTTGACTCGTTTTTTGCACCACCGCCACATCACACACGAATTCCCTCACGGAAAGGGCTTCGCTCGCTTCCAACGCCGCTCGCGAGGCCTGACACATGCAGAAGTACAAAATTTTGGATGTGCTTTCTTTGGAGCGATGGGTTGCACTCGTGCGGTTCGCAGCTCCATCAGCAGTGAAGCGGACGACCTGCGAGTTCGCGCCAGTTGCAGGCAGGGATGGCCACTGCACGTGCTCACACTCGCGAACTTGGAGTCCGACATCTTTCGCGAGGAAACACTGACAGGATCCGCAAGGGTGCTGTGCGGCGAAACGAACGCGAAACGAAGTCATTTTTTTTTCGTGTAGCATGCCGTCCAGCGAGGCCCCAAGTCTCTACCAGGTCTCACCCCAAAACAACAGCAGCAAGGACAAAGAAGACAGAGAAAGAAGAACTGGAGATTCCGAATCAGTAGCCCCACTTTCATTACTTTCTGTATTCCTTCATAAGTGAAACGGTTTTCACCTCTTTGCAGTAGCAGACGCAGATCCCAGGGTTCCATCCCTAGACCTTGCCCTATCTGTGTACAGTACCCGTGTAGACCCCGAGAGTTAAACCTGTGACCTGTGTATTCGTAAACAGTTGATAGGCTGTCATAGGTCCGTAGGTAGCAGGGGTTCGATCTGTAGACCTGTAGGATAGAAGTCTTAGCGAGTTCCAGAAGTCTTAGCTGTAGTCCTTCTAGAAGGTCGGCAAGTGGGCAAGTGGTCAAGTGGTGAGGCAAGTGGTGGACTAAACCGCAGTGCGATTGCAGTACGAGTCCGGTGGGATACCAGTGAGCCCCCAGTCAGTCAGCGGCAAGGTCCAGTCAGTCCCAGTCAAGTCCAGCAAGTACCAGAAGGGACTGTGAGCACCATGGGCCGATGGCAAAGGGCAGACCAACGAGTTTCAGAAGTATAAATCAAGAGG